TCTACAGCTCAGATAAACAGAAACTTCACTATCAGAGAGAGAGACTTAATCCACGACACAATTAACAGGTACAGTCTATGGTGCAGGTTCATTTAAATAGCATTAAATGTCTTTTAGCCAATCATCATCCATTAATGTTTATACTCCCTGTAAAGATTACTGTAAAATTATGTCAGACACTTAGGAAAGAATCTCATGACGATTAAACATCCTTTTCATTTACATGACACTTTTTTTGTTGAATATACAGTTGAAGTCAAAAGTTTACATACACCTTGCAGAATCTGCAAAATGTAAATTATTTTACCAAAATTTAGTACTGACCTGAATAAGATATTTCACATTTAAGATGTTTACATATAGTCCACAAGAGAAAATAATAGTTGAATTTATAAAAATGGCCCCATTTAAAAGTTTACATACACTTGATTCTTGTGTTGTTACCTGAATGATCCACAGCTGTGCTTTTTGTTTAGTGATAGCTGTTCATGAGTCCCTTGTTTGTCCTGAACTGTTGAACTGCCTGCTATTCTTCAGAAAAATCATTCAAATCCCACAAATTCTTTGGTTTTCCAGCATTTTTGTGTATTTGAACCCTTTCCAACAATGACTGTATGATTTTGAGATCCATCTTTCCACACTGAGGACAACTGAGGTGGTACTCATATGCAACTAATACAGAAGGTTTACGTGCTCACTGATGCTTTCACTGCTGCAGTGCAAAGATGGATCTTGTTGACACTTGATTTCAGTTGATTGCTAACAGTCATATAATGTTGTTATTGTTCTAAATGAATGTGTTATTTACAAAATCCCAGAAAACTGTAATAATTTAAAAAAAATTTCCCAATATCCTAGCAGATACAGTAATTATACCTAGCAGAATTACTGATAACTGCACTGCACACTTTGTGTTGAAACCTGTGAAATTAGGTGAAAAGGTTTGCGTTTAATACATAATTTTTGACAACTGTACCTGTTAGTCAGGCGCGCCGTTGGCATGGGGGACAGGGGGGCAGGCCCGGCTCCAGAATCAAATCACTGGGGGTGCTTCTTAAATTACTGAGGGTGCTCTAACCTTAATAAGGGTTTTAGTGCCGTCCATTGCTATGGCGCAAAGAGCGATTCATTTATAATCACTAAAAAGCTGTCACTCATCTTATTTCATCGCGATCTCACAAAGTTACATTATAATCAGGGCTTCATTTGTGCCGGAATCCGAATCCGGCACCTCATTTGGGGATCCCCCTCCTCACGCACCAATGCCAAGGTAGTTGTAGTTTTGCATTTTTAAATTCGTTTTTATTTTAATGTCGTTTTCAGTTGTGCTATAAAATTCAGTTTCATTTTTGTTAGTTTCGTTAATAATTTTCTTAATTTTAGTTTAGTTTTTATTTTGTGAACACATTTCTATTTAGTTCTATATAGTTTAGTTTCAGTTTTAATAAGTAAAGTTAGCAACACAAATGCTTGATTGATTAGACGATAAATAGCCTATGGTAGGTAAATTTCCCTCTCAACCTCCAATGCATCGATCGTCCCTTATTATTCCTTATTCCGCCGGAGAACATAATGTCACAGTGTCTAGTTGGTGTGCCCATGTATAGCCACCAGAGGGCACGCTTAGTTTTGTTTGTTTCTTTCGGTCACGGAATGCTCTCAAAGAAGAAGATCCAAGTGCAGCTTTTATTTAAGAGTCCAAAAAACTGTAATCCACATTGGGACAAAACGGGTGTGCCTCACACGTCCTGAAAAGTGAAGCTGCGGGCTCTTTGATCGCCCCCTGGTGGCTGTCTGCAGTACAGGTCATAAACCCCGCCCTCTCCATGTAAACGAATGGGACTTGAGTCAAAATTTAAAGAAATAAATTACGCTTCCAATACAGTTTTCTGAAAGATGGTTTTGGTCATTTAAGGTAGTTCGTTTTTGTGATAGGTTTGATTTTAGCTAGTAATTTGATGCTATAAAAACGGGGTGTGTCGTTATGGTTGATTGGGCCTGCGGGAGTTTGATACCGCGGCTCCACCTCACGACACTACTACGCAGACTCTGGCTCCAAACGAATCTCTACTGCGCAGACTCTGGCTCCAAA